ACATACAACAGTTAGAACGACGGCGAGCGGCGGCGGAAGGACAGACACGACGAACTCACATGGTACACCGGAGGAGGGGGGAAGAGGGGATAGGAAGGGAAAGGAGGGAGGAGATGGTTAGCGAACTCAGGTCGAGGTGGACGAGCGGCGACGAGGTCACCGGAGCAGGGCCGGCGAGCTCAAGGCGAGCGGCGGCGAGCTCCAGGCGACGGATCGAGAGCGAGCGAGACGAGACGACTGCGACTGCGAGCGGCGGGAGTGGAGTGGGATTAGGGTTAGGGATCGAGGGGGGCGGGCCGGGGGGGCAGCATATATACGGCCGCGGGGGAGGCGGCTTCGTGGGCTGGGCTGCCTGCGGCCTGCCTCACTAGCCGTTGGAGGCACCGGGCCGCCTCTTTCACCAGGCCGTGCCCGTGTCGTGCCGCAGGCCTAGGTGGCGGCCCAGGCATGTCCTGGTCCTTCAGGCCGGGCCGGCCCCGGGCCTGATGGCCACCGGGCCGTTCCGTGCTTGGGCCGGGCCAAATTGCCGGGCCACGAGCCCACGGGCTGCATGGCCAGGTATATCTACCGCGCATACACCTGCTTCATTCTCGACCAACTCCCCACGCACCTGCAGCAGCCAGAGCCCAGGGTGCAATACTCCTACGCGCACGCAGCAACGGGCTTTGCGGCGCGGCTGACAGGGCGCCAGGCCGACCATCTGGCGTCTCTGCCTTCCGTTCTCGCCGTCATACCCGACGTGATGCATCAGCTGCACACCACTCAGACGCCGTCGTTCCTCCAACTCTCGGATCCGTATGGGCTCCTGCCGGCGTCGAATGCCGCTCCGGACATCGTCATCGGCGTCATGGACACCGGCGTATACCCCAAGGACCGCGCGTCGTTCGCCGCGGACCCGTCCCTGCCGCCGCCGCCCAGGACGTTCCGCGGCCGCTGCGTCTCGACGCCGGAGTTCAACGCCTCCGCCTACTGCAACAACAAGCTCGTCGGCGCCAAGTTCTTCAGCCTGGGGTACGAGGCTTTGAACGGCCGACTGATTCATGAGACGGAGTCCCAGTCGCCGCTCGACACCAACGGCCATGGTACCCACACCGCGTCCACGGCCGCTGGCTCTGCCGTGGAGGACGCCGCCTTCTTCGGCTACGGCAAAGGCACAGCCGTCGGCATGGCCCCACGCGCTCGCATTGCCGCTTACAAGGCGTGCTGGGCAGAGGGATGCGCGGACTCTGACATCCTCATGGCATTTGAGGAGGCCATCAAGGATGGGGTCAACGTCATCTCTGTGTCACTCGGTGCCGACGGCGAGGTGCCCGAGTTTCACAGCGACAACACGGCTGTGGGAGCGTTCAAAGCCGTCAGCAAGGGCATCGTCGTCTCTGCCTCCGCGGGCAACTCTGGTCCCGGCGAGTTCACCGCCGCCAACGTCGCGCCATGGATCCTGACGGTCGGTGCGTCAACCATCAACCGCCAGTTCCCAGCGAACGTCGTTCTTGGCAACGGCGAGACCTTCACCGGCACTTCCCTCTACGCCGGCACGCCGCTCGGTCCAAGCAAGATACCGCTCGTCTACGGCGGGGACGTGGGCTCAAGCGTCTGTGAAGCTGACAAGCTGATCCCCAGCAAGGTCGCTGGAAAGATCGTGGTTTGCGACCCTGGTGTGATCGGTCGAGCAGCTAAAGGAGAAGCCGTCAAACTTGCCGGAGGAGCTGGAGCAATCCTTGTCAGCACCAAAGCGTTCGGCGAGCAGGCCATCACCAGCCCGCACATCCTTCCTGCGACGGCCGTCACGTTCGCCGCCGCCGAGGAGATCAAGAAGTACATAGGAACAACCGCATCCCCCGTGGCGACGATCGTGTTCCCAGGCACTGTCATCGGCAGGACGCCATCATCGCCAAGAATGGCATCCTTTTCCAGCCGTGGCCCCAACCTCCGGGCGCCGGAGATCCTCAAGCCGGACATCACCGCCCCTGGAGTGGACATCATGGCTGCCTGGACCGGCGAGAACTCACCATCGGAGCTCGACAGCGACACGAGGCGAGTGAAGTTCAACATCATATCCGGCACGTCCATGTCATGCCCGCACGTCAGCGGCATCGCCGCGCTGCTCCGGCAGGCATACCCGGACTGGAGCCCCGCAGCGATCAAGTCCGCCCTGATGACCACCGCGTACAACGTCGACAACGGCGGCGAGGTCATCAAGGACATGGCCACCGGGAAGGTATCCACGCCATTCGTCCGTGGATCCGGCCATGTTTTCCCCAACCGCGCCCTCAACCCGGGCCTAGTGTACGACGCCGGTGCCGACGACTACCTCACCTTCCTCTGCGCGCTCGGTTACACCACCGAGCAGATGACCATCTTCACGAGTGACAGCTCGGAGACTGACTGTTCCAAGCGCAAGGGCTCCGTCGGCGACCTCAACTACCCGACCTTCTCGGTGGTATTCAACTCTGACAAGAAACCGGTTCGCCAGCGCCGTGTCGTGCGCGAAGTTGGGAGCTGGTTCCTAGCCAGGTATAGGGTCAGGGTCACCAGCCCCGCTGGCGTGAAAGTGACAGTGACGCCGGACACTCTGCTGTTTGGCCCGTGGCAGCGGACACAGAAGTATGAGGTCACTTTCACGCCGGTAGAGGGGATGAACGTGACTGAGAAGTACACGTTCGGGTCGATCGAGTGGAGCGACGGCGAGCACAAGGTGACGAGTCCCATCGCCTTCACCTGGCCGGTGACCCAACAGAGCCAAGCCGTGGCGGAAATGTGATGCAACTATGAAGTTTGAGCTGACTACTGTCGTGTGCGCGTATCTTGCTTCGTAGTAGTAAGCAGCAGACTATTGAATAAGCTGCCTAGTTTCAGGACTCTTCCATTTCGTGGTCCAGTTGTAGAATTTGTCATTCCTCGCTGAAATACATGATAAGTGGTTTCAAGCTACAAACTTGTTATTTAAATGACACTGGCAAGCTCATCTTGTATCTTAGCATCTTACACGGATCCGGTGCACTCGGAGTCATGGAAGCAAAGGCGTAGCACTGTTCATCAATGTAGCATCTTTTCCTCTGTTTTTTCGTCACATTTTTGCGGCTCTAACTCCTCTTGGCTTCTTGCAAGGAGATATATCTTGTACACCCGCGTTTAGCAAGGCTTCAGCATGAACCAAAGCTAAAGTCACTCCAAAAGCCTTAAATGGGGTCACATGTCATACCCTATCTCCAAATGGTGGCTGAGATTTGAAATCTGTCACGGATGTTTACCTTTCAAAACAGAACCTCTAGAGCAACTCCAAAATCTTCGTATCCTTTCTTATTTTTAGAAATAGAGATTTTGAGGAAAAAATGCTCTACAACGGCTTCTTTAATTAGATCTTTAAATATTACTATCATTTATTTTGGATTTTCCGTTAGCAAAAGACAGAGAGCGTGATTGGCTCTATAGAGTGCGCACAAAATATAGAAAAATTGGGTTAGAGCCTTAAGTGAAAAGACATAGGACGACAAATAGCTCTCTAAATGGTGATTTATAGAGTGAATTTAAAAAAGACTATTAGAGATGCCTTTTGAGAGCTATCCGGTTAAAAATAGAGGGCTCGGCCAGCAGATGAGATTTAGCTTTTTTATATATTTGAAAGATTGCATCTAGCGCAGTGCCACGATCAGAAAGTAAGCATACGTTGCTTCGCCTTTTCAGAGGCAGCCATCAACATTAAGCACGTGGTGATTCCAGAAAACCGGTAGGCAACGACGCCTTGAGAAAACAGAGGATAAACCGGCACGGGAGCTTGGTCTTTTGGCAACATGCAGCAGGGCACCAGGCCTTCTCATACAATAATCAAAAGGGTTAAGTACACTTTACAACCTTGAACTTGCGCCAAAGTATGATTTTCAACCTTCAACTATGAAACCGGTCAAGAAACACCCTCCAACTATCAAAACCGGACAACTTTGGTCCTCGGCCGGTTTCAAAAGCGGTTTTCTATTTTCGGGAGGCGCCGAAATTTTAAATTATTTTTTTGAGCATCTTAACGTTCTCAAATGAAAAAACTCAAAACTACAAAGTTGTAGATCTCATTGAGGTCTACAATTTACATATAAAAATTATCTTCATCCGACATCGTATCAAAGGGTTTTCTATTTTTTGAAATTTGAGTCTCATCACGCGACAAAATATGGTGCTGAAATTTTATATTATTTTTTCGAGCATCTTACTGTCCTCAAATGAAAAAAATTAAAACTATAAAGTTGTAGATCTCATCGAGGTCTACAATTTACATATAAAAATTATCTTCATCCGACATCGTATTGAAGGGTTTTCTATTTTTTGAAATGTGAGTCTCATCATGCGATAAAATTGTTTTTTTTTCCGACAAAGTATGTTTTAATTTTTTTCATTTGAGGACAGTAAGATGCTTGAAAAAAAATATAAAATTTCAGCACCATATTTTGTCGCGTGATGAGACTCAAATTTCAAAAAATAGAAAACCCTTCAATACGATGTCGGATGAAGATAATTTTTATATGTAAATTGTAGACCTCAATGAGATCTACAACTTTGTAGTTTTGAGTTTTTTCATTTGAGAACGTTAAGATGCTCAAAAAAATAATTTAAAATTTCGGCACCTCCCGAAAATAGAAAACCGCTTTTGAAACCGGCCGAGGACCAAAGTTGTCCGGTTTTGATAGTTGGAGAGTGTTTCTTGACCGGTTTCATAGTTGAAGGTTGAAAATCATACTTTGGCGCAAGTTCAGGGTTGTAAAGTGTACTTTACCCTAATCAAAACGCCTCCCGTGAGCAGAGTTCAATAATCAGAACTAGTGGCATGAGCAAAATTCTGTTCCCAGATTTGGATCTCGCACATGGTTGGCACCGCGCCATGGCTGCCGTGGTGATCTGATCCCAATGCGCTAGGCGCCGTGCAATGCCACCACCAACCCAATCGATTACCTACTTATCGGCGCCACCGCGACGACACTGCTCACTCTCATTCCCACTGCCACCGTGATACAATGGCTGGGCTAGCCGGCGTGGTGTGCCTCCTCCTCCTCCTCGCTGCCAGCTCTGTCGCCGCGGTGGCGGCGGCCGAGGCGGAGTTCCGATCCTCCTACATCGTGCACGTCGCGGCGGAGCACGCGCCACAGTCGACGCGTCCGCGCCTGCTCGCCCGCTCGTACACCTTCCTGCGCGACAGCCTTCCCGCGCACATGCTGCGCCCGGCGCCGCGGGTGTTCTACGCGTACGCGCACGCCGCGACGGGCTTCGCGGCGCGGCTCACGGAGCGCCAGGTCGCGCACCTCGCGTCCCAGCGCTCTGTCCTCGCCGTCGTCCCCGACGAGACGCTGCAGCTGCACACCACGCTGACGCCGTCGTTCCTCGGCCTCTCGCCGTCGTCGGGGCTCCTCCCGAGGTCCAACGGCGCCGCGGACGTCGTGATCAGCGTCATCGACAGCGGCATCTACCCCATGGACCGCCCGTCCTTCGCCGCGGACGCGTCGCTGCCGCTGCCGCCCAGCAAGTTCCGGGGCACCTGCGTCTCCACGCCGTCTTTCAACGGCTCCGCCTACTGCAACAACAAGCTCGTCGGCGCCAGATTCTTCTACGAGGGCATGAAGCTGCGCATGGGCGTGGCCGCCTTTAGTGAAGCCGAGGATTCCTTGTCGCCGCTGGACACCAACGGGCAAGGCTCGCACACTGCCTCCACCGCTGCCGGCTCTGCCGGGGTGGACGCTTCCTTCTTCAACTAGGGCAAGGGCAAGGCCATCGGCGTGGCCCCGGGCGCGCGCATTGCCGCCTACAAGGCCTGCTGGAAACATGGATGCGCGGATACTGACATCCTCATGGCGTTTGATGCGGCCATCGCTGATGGGGTCGATGTCATCTCCGTCTCGCTCGGCGGCTCCAAGCCCAAGCCGAAAGAGTTCTACACAGATGGCATCGCCGTCGGTTCGTTCAGCGCCGTCCGCAACGGCATCACCGCCTCTGTTTCTTCGGGAAACTTCGGCCCAGGAGAGTTCACCACCGTCAATGTCGCGCCCTGGATCGTGACGGTTGGCGCGTCAACCATCAACCGCCGGTTCCCAGCGAGCGTCGTCCTCGGCAACGGGAGACATTCACCGGCACTTCGATCTACGCTGGCGCGCCTCTAGGCAAAGCCAAGATACCGCTAGTGTACGGTGAGGACGTGGGCTCGCACGTCTGCGAAGCCGGCAGGTTCAATGCTAGGTTGGTCGCCGGGAAGATTGTGGTGTGCGACCCCGGCGTGAATGGCCGGGCAGCGAAAGGCGAGGCCGTCAAACTCGCCGGTGGCGCCGGAGCAATCCTCGTGAGCGACGAAGCGTTTGGCGAGCAGGCCCTGACTACCGCCCACATCCTCCCTGCAACAGCCGTTAAGTTTGCCGACGCCGAGAGCGTCAAGAAGTACATCAGAATGACTGCATCCCCTGTTGCAACGATTGAGTTCCATGGCACCGTCGTCGCCCGGACGCTTTCGTCACCAAGAATGGAGTCCTTCTCGAGCTGGGGGGCGAAGCTCCTGGCGCCCGAGATCCTCAAGCCGGACGCGACCGCCCCTGGTGTCGACATCCTAGCCGCGTGGACTGGCGAGAACTCGCCGTCGCAGCTCGACAGCGACCCGAGGCGGGTGAAGTACAACATCATCTCTGGCACGTCCATGTCGTGCCCGCACGTGAGCGGCATCGCCGCGCTGCTCCGGCAGACGCGACCGGACTGGAGCCCCGCCGCGATGAAGTCCGCGCTGATGACCACCGCGTACAACGTCGACAGCGCCGGGGACATCATCAAGGACATGTCCACCGGCAAGGCATCGACGCCGTTCGTGCGCGGGGCCGGCCACGTAGACTCGAACCGCGCGGTTGACCCAGGACTCGTGTAGGACGCCGGTGCCGACGACTACTTCTCCTTCCTGTGCGCGATCGGTTACACCGCCGAGCAGATCGCCGTGTTTAGGACGAAAGACGACCCAGTGGTGGACTGTTTGACGCGCACGGCCTCCGTCGGCGACCACAACTATCCCGCCTTCTCCGCGGTACTCAACTCCACCAGGGACGCCGTCACGCAGCGCCGCGTCGTGCGCAACGTCGGGAGCAGGGCCAGGGCCAGCGTCACCAGCCCGGCCGGCGTGCGCGTGACGGTGAACCCACGGAAGCTACGGTTCAGCGCGACGCAGAAGACGCAGGCGTACGAGATCACCTTCGCGGCGCAAGGCGTGGGTAGCGTGACCGAAAAGTACACGTTCGGGTCCATCGTGTGGAGCGACGGCGAGCATAAGGTGACCAGCCCCATCGCCATCACCTGGCCAGCGACGGCGAGCCAAGTGGCGGTGATGTGATGTGATGCGAGCTGCCTAGCTGCGTTTGCAGTGTTTCTCTTCTGAATAATAAGGCAATATAAGCTGCCAGTGCCTCTGTGCATGCCTGCCTCATTTCACCACCACCCTTCCATTGCTTGATCAAGTTGTAAAATTCAGTGCTAATCGTTGTCATTCCATTCGGTAGTTTCAGCTATCGGTTTGCCTGAATTCTGGCCCTTTTCCCTACTGGAATCGAAGCTACAAGTAGTAGTTATGCAAGGCCGGGACGTGCGGTTGTTTTGTTGGGGAAAACACCAAAACAACCGCCTAAAACGCATGACAAGGCCATAGAGTGTTTCACGAGTACCTAACACACGAATTTCCATATATTGGATCACAAGATGACGACCAGATTTGATTACTTGCGCTGTTGATCCGATAGCTGCTGCAGCTTTCGCACGCAACTCGTTGGATGCGTATGTATTTATCTCAATCCACATGTATTGAAGTGGATCAGAGTGGAATTAAACTAAATTTCATTCCATTCCACTCCAACACATATGGATTGAAGTAGATACACGTGCATCCAAACAAGCACTAAGTAGGTGCTCAATCACGTCTGGATTCAGGCGTCACTATTCCATATAACTTCAATGTGTAATTTATACATATAATTTATAACTTATACACATAACTTTAACGTATGCCTTTTTATGTTTCATAATTTTTTGTGTTTTTAAGTTTTGGCATAAGTTATAAATTATATATTATAATTTAATACACATAGTTTGCTACTAAAATAAAAATTTTCGAAACATATGTAAACGAGGTCTAGTTTTATTCGTCTCGTCACGTAAAACACACTGGTGCATATGGAATTGAAAATGGATAAATCATTCAAAAGTTATAGCAATTTAAAGTAAATAGTTTGCTTTTTGAAAGTGCCGTCAGGGCAGGTGCAGACCAGGCGAAGGCAGAGCCCGTGCAGCGGTTCCTCACATCGCGAGAATGGAATTGGGTGCCTCACATCCGATGCACAAGAAACAAGGAAGAGACAGATCGATGGCTGAAAATTCATGTGCCCAGAGCCAACAAAATAACTGGTTGATATTTAGCTTTCCGATAATGATATATGACGGAACGGACGCACCCAAAGCCGCACCGAATCGACCCGCTCCTGCCGCACGCCGTCTCCTAGAGCCGCCCCACCTGCCGGGACGGACACCGCGCCTAGTTCGCTGCTGCCCCACTCGCCCGCCAGCGCTCCCTCCCTCCCTCCCTCCTCCCCTCCTGCGACCTCCATCGGTACCCCACGCCCCCAGCGACATGGCTCCCGCTCCTCCCACCGGAGACGAGGACAACGGTGGCGGCTCCGACGAGATAGGTCAGTTCTTCTTTGGATTTGATCCCTCCTCCTCCTTCTCCTCTGGATCTGAGCGCTCCTCCTCCTCTGCTCCTCTGGATCCTCCTCCTCCTCCTCTGGATCTGAGGGATGCGGCGGTGGCTAGGGTTCCGACGAGCTCTATTGCAGTAGCCTTATTTTGCTGTTGCAATATTTCTTTGTTACATTAGTCTTTTTTTGTTTCTGATGTTGCATCTCGCATTACAGTAGCCTTGTTCTGGTGTACAACAAGTAATATTTCTTTGTTGTATTAGTATTTTTTTTTCTGATGTTGCTTTCTCGCATTGCGCTTTGTTCTGTTTTGTTGCAGTAGCTTTGTTCTGATGTTATAACAAGTAATATTTCTTTGTTGTATTAGTCTCTTTTTTCTGATCTTGCATCTCGCATTGCAGTAGCTTTGTTTTGTTGTTGCGGTCGCCTTGTTCTGATGTTGTAGTAGACTTGTTCTGATATTGCAAACAAGTAATACTCCTAATGTTTGCATCTCGCATTCCTCCGTGTTGCAATAGATCTTTCCAATGGAAAATTTTCTCATTGGACATTCAGGGTGATGGAGCACGGTGGGGATGAGGTGTGCAGGGGATGGTGGCACAACGGGTGATGACGACGCGACGAGGCATGGCAGCGCAGCGGGAGATGGGTGAAAGGTCCTTGTTTGGTTTTGGTAACTGAGTGACAACCTAGGTGGACTAATTGTGTTTAATGTGAGATACACAGGTGATTAGTCCACAGGTACATGTGTGTGAGCAACATATGCCATAGAGGTGAAATGGCTTGGAAATGTTGTAAAGCTCACACATGTAATGAAGGAGCTCATTACATATGAGACATGATATGGAGTCACGTGATCAAGGTGGAGAAAATCAAGACAAGACTTACCTCAAAGGACCGGTTACAAGTGTGAAGTGTAAGTTGAGTGATGACTTAGCGCCAATAGACCGAGACAACGGTGAAGAGCAAGTGAAGTCAAGATCGATGAACCAATACGGTCACGTGATGATATGAAGTGGATCATATCATTTGCTGGTTGGTTGGTGCATGTGTTGCATCAACATCGAAGGAGATGAAGTGCAATGCGTAAGGCAAATGTATAACCTAGGGCATTTTATTTCATCGATCACAGGTTGTCTAGAGAAGTGCATAACCAGGTTTAGGATAGATGGACATACTATTAAGAGGGGCAAACTTGTTTGCATATTGGTCATCTAGTGTCATTTGAGCGATCTAACTTTGCATACGTGTTAGGATCGAGTGGTATGGTGAAAAGAGTGCTAATCCTTTAGAAAAATGTTTGTGAAAAGCTAACACACATGCACAAGGTGTTGTTCACTCAGTAGTGTTAGCACATTTACAAAGGAGAAGTTGTTGGAGTTGAATTGGATCAACTTGGAGAAGAGAGAGAGGTTTTTCGGTGTACTCCGAATTATAGGATGGCTCTTGATTTGGAATTCTGCATTGATCTGTTGTGCTTTGGATCAAATATGCAAGTGGGTTGTGTAGCCCTCTGAATAAGCTTTCCAAAATGTCCAAGATCATCGAAATCGGAGTTCGAAGCTAAGAGTTATAGCCGTTTTAGCGCTAAAAGGTCTGTGATCGGACGCGTCTGGTCAGTACTTGCAAGTCCAGTCGAGAGTCCGGTTAGTGTTTTTAACGTGTCCAGGAGCGACCAGACACAAGGAGAGTCCGATCAGTGATGACCTGATGTGTCCGGTCATCAAAAGAGCTCTCTGGAACCTCTCTGGAAGTGACCGGACTCTGGGAGAGTCGAGTTCGGTCATAGGAGAAAAGGGAGTCCGGTCAGCTGTGCAGAGGCGCGTTGGTGACCGGACTCGGCCTCGGCGTGTCCGGTCGCTGTACCTAGGCATGTCCGGTCAGGAGTATACGCATGCGGGACCATTGATGAGCAACGATCATCTTCGAATGGCTAGTACACGTGGTGCACGAGGAGCGACCGGACTCTATGACCGGGCTCTAGACCGGACTCTGGGGTGAGTTCGGTCAGCGAGTCCAGTTAGTGCGCAGAAATCAGGATGAAGGGGGTAACGGCTATTTTAGCCATTGGGGATATAAAAGGAGTGTGTGGCCAACCTTGGCACATGCTTAGCACCCTTGGGACTTAGTGTCCATGCTTGGAGAGTGTTTGGGAGCCCTCTAACTCACTTGTGCTTGCAAGAGTGTGGTCCGATTGCGAGTGAGTGTGATTCTAGTGCGTTGCATCGTGAGGTTGTATCGAGTGGCACTAGGTGATCGAGTTGCAAACCGGTGGTGCTTGTTACTCTTGGAGGTTGCGACCTCCTAGACGGCTTGGTGGCTTGTGACTCCATTGAAGCATGCGAGAAGATTGTGCGGTGCTCCGAAGGAGGATTTGTGAGGGGAATTGTGCTCACCCCGCAGGGATCGCGAAGAGCAACTCTAGTCGAGCGTGTCATTGAGATACCCTCACTTGGCTTGTGAGGTTCTTGCGGTGTTCAATGTGTGGACGAGGTTCGTGCAACACCTCTTAGCTATCGAACCACCAAGTGAGCGGTCGACACAACGGGGACATAGCTTGGTGGCAACCAAGTGAACCTCGGGAGAAAATCATCGTGTCAACCTTGTCTTTCCGTTGGTTTGCATCTCCGTTACACAAACTTGTATTTACTTTCACATACATTGTGCTTGTGTAGTTGCTCTTATAATTAGTTGGCTTGTGTAGCTTGCTAGTTACCTTCTTGCTTGTGTTGCATAGAAGTAGCTCCTTTGCGTGACTAATTTAGTTTGAGTAACCTTGTTAGTCACATTGCTTAGTTTGTGTAGCTAAGTAATTTGCGCTCTCTAATTTGACATTAGTTGCCTTGTTATTGAGCATTGCTAGTAATCTTAGGAGCTTTGTGCTTTTCATACTAGCATGTGTAGGAGCTCCCCGGTGCTTGAAGTACTAGTGGCATAGGTTTGTTTGACCTTGCTCCTAGAATTGATTAGGTGAGCTCTAACTAGCCCGGCATCTTTGTTGCCTAATTAGGATCTTTATAAGGTGTTTGAGAACTTAGATAGAGGGGTGTAGTCTTGGCTAGACCGATAGTTTTAATTCCGCATTTGTTTCGGTTAGCCGGCGTGATTAATTTTAGAAAGGACTATTCACCCCCCTCTAGTCCACCATCTCAACCCTACACGTGGTATCAGAGCGTGATCTCTCATTTGTGGTCTTCACCGACCCGAGAGGATGGCGAACTACGGGCTAGATGTTGAGTGTCCACACATATTTGATGGCACACACTTTGCACGTTGGAGAAATTGGATGACTTGTAATGTTAAGTTTATTTCTCCTCAAATGTGGTGGATCGTAGATGTGGTGTTTTCTCTTGTGATTGATAGAAAGGATGCAACTCAAACGCAAAAGAAATGCCTACATCTCAATTGCCAAGCTACTAATATTTTCTATCAATCTATAAAAGATAACATATTTGGTGAGATCATGGATATGAAGTCCGCCCATGAGATTTGGATTTATCTCAATAAGAAATATGGGGCGATCTTCGATGATGATGATGATGATGATGATCACAAGGAGGAGGCACATGAGGATGTTGAGCATTGCCATAATTTGGTGATTGTGGAAAATTGCTCCACCTCATAGTCAAGTGATGATGATGATGAT